AGTACTTCCACTTTTACCAGAGTATTTTTTAACACAAGTATCTGTACTTTTACTCAAGTACGGAAAGTGAGTACTTTTGCCATCTCTGCAGGTGATATTAAATGGGTTTTATCTCTGTTGTGTGCATTTATATCCAGCAGATGGCGCCATTTGACCATCATTACTGATTTTTTTTCTCTCTTGTTCATCATAAAATGATAAAGATGTCAGGACTTTTGGAAGATCTTTCCAAAACCTTCATGTTTCTTCTATCCGTTCTAAATCTGGTTCTGATGTGTTTTAACTGGTTTCTGACTTAATCTTCTCCTTTATTTGCTCTGATGAAACTGAATGATCTCATTTACAAATGTACTGTTGATATGTATTTGGGATGATGAGATGTTTTGTTATCAGAAACTAAACCTTTTTCTAATTTTCTTTCAATAATTGTCCCTCAGTGGGGACATCTGTCCTCTGTGTTTAACTCATCCTCTTTAGGGAGCAGTGGGTTACACACACCTAGTGGCTCCTGGGGACCAATCTAGGGTTAAAGGCTCTAAGGGACCCAGAGTGATAGTTTTAAACCAGCAACCTTAACTGCCTCTCCAGAGTGCTAATGCCCTGCTCTCTAACCACTAGTCCTCCACTCTGCCCTTTTTAAATATTCATCTGTTGTTCTACGATTTTAGCTCTGATTCTCAGAACAAATCCACCTTCCTGCAGTCCGAGCTTTATGATCCAACTATTTATGGTTTCAACAAACACAAACTAAATATGTTTCATTGTCTTACTGACATTTCTGTCATCTCAAAACATTTTTTTCAGTCAAAGGATAAAAGAGCTTTATCTTTTTGAAACTTTGAGTTTTGTCATTTTAGCTGAAATTTAGTAGACAATTCACAACATGTATCTGACATAACTTTTAAAGTTTAGTTTAGAACATGGTATCTGAACTCAGAAAACATTCTTATCATACTGGGATTTTCATATTCTACAGAGAGGGTTCAATTTTAATTATTTCCTTTTAGCGAGGTCCACGACTTCCGGTTTGAGCTGAGTGCTTTTATTTTTGAGCTGTACTTCCTGTCCTGAGCAGCAATAGCAGCAGTTAGTTTATTGTCCACATGTGCAGCAAGTTAAACTCAGAGCCACGGTACTATTGGTGGATCTGGACAAACATGACCAACTTTAGCAATGAGCAAAATAATTAATAGGAAAAAAGTTCATGATGTAAAAAGTTCAGTGAACTCTGGAAGCAGCCACCATCAGATGGACTAACTTTACTCTCTAAGTTCTAAGAACACTTTGGATTCACTGAATGATCTCAGTATTAAATGTAGAGTTGATGTTTAACCAGGATGATAGCATGTTGATGATCACAATCAGAGCTGGACCTTGACT